CCGGGAGCTGTCCGTGGTGCCGAAGGCGGTGCTGGCGGGGTGCAGCCGGGAGGCCCTGCCGAGCTCGGGGAAATGACGCGGAGGGTCCTGCTAGGAGCCGGCGGCCATGGACCACGCGGGGTGTTGGGAGAGGGGCTTCCTCGAGGGCATCAGTTAAAGCAAAGAGCAGTAAGGAGTCGCTGTTCACGAAGCAAATTTTGATTTACAAATCGAGAAGATGCGATGCCTCGGGAGGGCCCGCGGCCCTGTGAATTGTTCCTCACCGAAACGAGCCATAGCGCAGGTCCTGGCCCAGTGGCTCTTCCACTTCTGAAGCCTCCTGGGCCTCTGAGCATGCCTCTGCATGGCAGTCGGTGTGGCAAAGCCACTGGAGACACCTCTGCAGCGTCCTCCACAGGGAACCTGCTAGGTTGTCTCGTAACAGAGTTAATTTCTCTATCTTTGAAAAACTGAGCCTTAAAAAAAGTGACTTCCCCACAGCCTGTGATCTTTGTGGCAAACCTGTGGCTGAAATGTAGGAGTTGTGGTTTGGAGACTGTGAGCCAAAGGTTTGCATGCCTGTATGGGAATATCTTGGCATGTGCGTGTTAGACAACTCACCAGATTTGTTAACCGATGAAACATTTTCTAACAGCTAAGGAAGAAGAATGGGTCATTTTCAAGCAGGAATAAGTGAATCACAATATTTCAAAAGCCAGATCCCTTAAAAGGCACTTCTGCCCAGTGGTGTAGGTTTATACTACAAATTGTATAGTGTTTATTCAAATAACTTAGTTCACTGAAAATGGGAATTTGATCAGAGACAGCTTGACATGATATAAAGCATCTAGATCACGATGATGGTTTCCTGAGCGTGAAAATTGCAGTTCTGAAGATTTACAACTTTAAGGCATTTCAGACACTTTGTGTTTTGAGTGATTCATTTTGTGTCTTTTATTTTCTCACTTAGCATTGGCCATGTAATCCTTGTTTAGTCTGGGTACAAATGTCAGCGATTTGAAAGTTATTTTGAATGTTCATGTGAAGTCCCTAACTTGAGAGCGATGTTCCTGTAGTATATTGGCAAACCAACTACTTTGTTTCTTAAGATGTCTCTACACTATTTGCTGTTGGTGCTACTACATCTAGTTGTTTGGCTTTTCCCCGTGTTTTAGAAATCCTGAAAACATTGTGCGGTATCTGGAAATGTTGAACTTTATTGATAAGGCCCGGTTCTGCAATTTGTGCATGTATCAATAATCCATATATACACACACCTCTTGTTCAGGTACAGCTAGTGCTGTTATTGACTTCGCTGAGAGCATAGGTAGGCCTTGCTGAGTGCATGTTATCCTCATGCACTTATTGCAGCTCCAGGGGCTGGTGATACTGGTATTTTAGAGAACAATCAAGCTTGCCAGAAGAAACCTGAATTAGCTGCCTGTAAAGCACGTTGGTGTTCAGCTGATTTAGATTACCAGAGCAACATAGAAAAACGTTTTGGCTTTGCAATACTTACTCTTAAATACTAAGCAGTTCAAATGCAGGCTTTGAAGTCCTTTGTTATAACTTTGACAGGAATGCCATGTTATACAGCTGATGAAAATTCCCCTATGTGAGCAGCAGAATTGTGAGCAAATTAAAAAAAATATGTGGTGAGCATGCAGACCACATTCCTGGTCCTAGAGATGCAGCATGAACAGCAAACATTCAGCAGAAGTAAATATCTGATTTCTTTATAAAAGCACTGTCAAAAGATTAGCATCCTAAGTATCTGCCTTTTGAAAGCTCCCCTAGAGTGTTAATGTTTTGATAAGACGATGAACTCCAAGGGAGAAGCAGAAACTTGAAAGGATTGTGAATATTCTGCCTCATAAAGGAATCCAGGGCTTAGCTTTCTGTGGAATTCGAATATTTTCTCTTGGAGAATCATGAATAGCTTCTCGCCGTACAGGATGTTGGCACAGTGTCAACGCTGGGTTTCGGTAACCAGAAATGGGATAGCGGCAGTGACTGAGCAGTCAAGAGAGGTGGTGTTGGAGCCAGGAGCTACACGTGAAGACCCAGAGGTCATCAGAGATTGCACCCAAAAATGCTACGGAAACTTCAGCATGATTTGACTGTGGTGATAGCAAAGATAGGCAAGTTCCTACTAAAATCATCTGCTGGATTGGAAGCAGCCAGGGTTGCACCTATTTTTTTGTTACGATATCCTAGATGACGCTGTGAGGGCCTCCCCCAATCAGCTTCACTTCAGTACCAGACAAGTTGCTTGAAAGAATAATTAAAATGGAATTTTAAAATTGGCTCATTAGAGGAAAGGGTTACATCAGCCCAGGGGTGAGGAAGACAATTGGCTTGGCAGAAAAGATAAAGACGAGTGCTCGAGGGTATGCTTCATTCAGGGCAACAAAATCTAAACCAAGACAAGGAGGTGCTGGTTCACATAGCTGCTGTGGACCTCACTGCCACAAGGCACCAGTAAAGGATCCCAGTTCCAGGGCTAGGTGCTTACAGTGGGAAGGACATGCACAGCGGTGCAAGATGGGATTCACTTTGAATCTGTTAGATGGGATGCACAGCTGTGCAAGATGGGATTACCATTGAATCTCTTTAGGCCGAGAGTGATTACTTAATTGGGGGGGAGCGGGAAATGAGGTTTTAACTTTTGAAGGCGTATACACCTCCTTCTTCAGTGCAGAAGCCGACCACTAACAGGGACTGGGAAGTCATCTTGCCTTTGGACAGACTGCTCTGTCAAGGCCCTTTCATTGACTGAACAGATTTTGGATCAAGCCTTACTTATCTTCTGTCCCCTCAAGGCGTTTCTTGTCCTGAAGGTTTTGATGTTGGCTTCTTGCAGAGAGAGGACACTGGAGTCTATGGACCTCGGGTCTGGTCTGGTATGAAAGTTCCTCTGGTTCATCTCTCACTGGCATATGCTTAGAGACTCAGAGCAATCTGAATATGACAGGGCTCTGCTGTAACACAAAGGTTATTGAGCCAATTACAAAATGACAAAGCCTGGAAGGAGCTGGGAAGGAATGGAAGGGCAGGCTTCATTCCTGATGTGTTCCTGCCCTTTCATTTACTTGGCAATGGGCTTAGTTCGGACTCCTCTTTATATGGGATTCTCTGCGAGATGCTATTGCAAGCATGTGTATGTAGGAGCAGGGCCAGGGGGGAAGGGAAGGACGAAGGGACTGAATGCAACAGCCCAGTGTTGATATAAGATGGGGGTTTATTCGTGATAGCATCTGGTTCTCAACTGCAAGTGGGATTGACTGATTAGAGGCAGCTGAGAAAGCACATCTGCTGAAGACGGGGCTGTGCACAAGCTGTATCATCCCTCTGTACCTTTGCCGTCTCGATCATGCCAGATTTTGGTTGTCACATTTCCCTCTCCGGGCAGTGCTGGGATAACTTGGGGAATGGGAGAAAACCAACCTGCCTAGAAAGCAGGTTCATTAGGCACCACGTTCTCTGCCTACAGTGCAATTGCCTGCATGCTTTCCAGGCTAGCAATGCTGAAGCCACAGGCCCCATTTTACAGTAGCAAGGGGCAGTGTATGTCATGGTGATTAAGTACATTTTTTTTTAGTATGATTATCAACACAGAAGCATTCGGGCTTACGAAGGGCTTTGTTACAGTATTTGGTGCGAAAGAATTGCTGCAGCCTCTTTTATAAAGCTTTCAGCATTTTCTCTTTTAAATCTTCTGGTGTTTTATAACCAAGAAATAGTTCTCAGGGGAATTTAACAAATGGCAAGTTCTTTTCAGCTGCTCCTTCCATGCTAAATGGCTCTTTGAAGCATTCCCTTCCTCGTTGCCTGGCACTATCAATATTCCAGCTTTTAAATTTGTCACTAAGAAGTGCATCTAAATTGCAGGATGGATTAAGGGCTCCTGTATTTGGCACTTGGGCACCCTATCACTGAGAGATCAGCTTTCGACACTTTTAACCTCTGCAGCTTTTAAAGTTCCACTTTAACATACAGAAGGAAATGATTTCTTCACTGGATGCATCACTTAATGTAAAGTAATCCAACGTCGCTCCTTTTCCATCCATTAATTTCTCATATTGCCCACTCATTTTCTCTGTCCTTGATTGGTGTTAGGCATAATGACTAATTTGTATCATTTTATTTAGAGTGCATGATTGCTCCAAGTCCTAAGGCTAATGATAACATTGCAGTGGCCTGTGCTTATGGATCTTAATTATAACATTACTTCGTTTGCACTGCCTTTTAGTTTCTGAAAAAGATCCTTTTCATACTAAAGAAGCAGGATCGTCTTATGGTTATGAGGCTGTTCTAGGACTCAGGAGACAGGTCCTGTTCCCAAGTCTGCCACACGCTTCCTGTGTCCAGTTGTTTTACTTCTCTGTGCCTCAGTTTCCTGCTTGCAAAATGGGGGTAAAAGCACTTCCTTTACCCACCTATTGTCTGTCTGTCACTGTAGGGGGTAAATTCTTCAAGGGATGACGTGTCTCTACAACATTCACAGATGTTAGGGGCTGGAAAGGACCTCACAAGATCATCAGGTCCAGTCCCCTGCACCAGGCAGGAAAGACAACTGGGGTTTGTGGAGCACCTAGCACAACGGAGCCGCTGTCTCATTTGTGGCTTCGAAGTGCTGCTCGAATACAAATAGTAAATGAAAATAATGAAAATCTCACAAGACAACCACACAGCTCCTTGCTGGACTCTGAGTTAAATTAGTTCTGCTTGTTTGTTTTTTTTTCCATCTGGCAAGGCAAAA